CACTGAAAATGACAATCATACGGCGACCGAGAATGACGCCAGAGCCCCCCAAAGTTGGGTGTGGTACAAAACTCGAGCTTTCAGAGTACATAAACAATCGCTCACGTTCAATAACAAGTCATTTGTAGCGTGTGTGACCACCAAATGCCTCAATGCACGCAAAAACTCTTCGACGCAAAGAAAAAGTCAGTCGTCTGATGAGGTCACGTGGGATTTGACGCCATTCTTCTTGGAGGGCCAAGATCAGTTCTTGCCGGTTGGCTGGAGAGTGTGGTCGTTGTCCAACACGACGATCTATCAAGTCCCAGAGGTGTTCTAGGGGGGACGTGTCGGGTGAGCGTGCAGGCCACGGTAGGACGTTGACGTTGTTGGCTGCGAGGAAGTTAGTGACAATTCTGGCTGTACGGGCACTAGCGTTGTCATGCTGATAAATGACACCACGTGGCTGCTGTTGGAGAAATGGTAGGACAACTGGACGAAGAATGTTATCCATGTAACGCTGAGCTGTCAAGTTTCCGTCAACGATGACCAGCGGTGTCCTCTCCTGCCCACAGATCCCTCCCCACACCATGACACTCCCTCCACCATATGGAAAGACCTCCTGCACGCAACACGCCGCCGTTCGTTCACCCCTTCGGCGGTAAACACGTTGTCTTCCATCAGCCCTAAACATACAGAATCGACTTTCGTCAGTGAAGACAACCCTCTGCCAGTCACGTCGTTGCCAACGTCGTACAGTCTGGGCCCATCTCAATCGCAGACGACGATGTTGCGCTGTCAATAGCTGTCCTCTGTATGGTCTAAAAGCCCTGATTCCATGAGCCCTGAGTCTCCTGGCCACTGTCTGTCGACTAACCCTGTGACCTAAGGCATTTGTCACCGATGACGTTCACTGTCAGGAAGCGATTTCGGAGGTGCAAGGTACGCAAGTACCGGTCATCATGGGGCGTGGTCACCCTGGGTCTGCCTGTTCTTGGCCTGCCAGCGGTCCGCCCTGTCTGTCTGTAACGTTGCATCAAGTTAGTAACGGCAACACGGGAGCAACCGAAGGTTCGTGCAAAATGGGCATGGGTGGCTCCCATCTGTACCATACCCAAGGCTCGTTCACGTTGTTCGACTGTGAGTCGTGGCATTTTTTAATTTTTTTTTTATCACTGTGGATGTCTGACTTGCCGCTGCAATCGTTTTATACCCTTACCCGCACGTGCATTTGCAGTTGTCCCTGGTGCACGTGTTTTTCACTTTTTCGCGTGTTATCTCGCAAACATGTAACAGACGATTAACATTTTCTGCATACACTATTGTTGTATTTAGGTTATGTGTTTTAGATAGACTTCATCGAAGGGATTTAAAAATTACCCACCATCTGCGCGATACACCTACTATATTTTAAATTTAAAGGTTTCGGACGTTGATTTTTTTTCTGTTGCTGCCATTTTTTTGGACACTTTTTATTTATCACAGAACGATTCTGTGTCCTGGACATCGCATATTCTTAACGGGACTGTGTACACTACATTCCTCCATCATCCGTAAACCCATACGTCCGCTTTGCGATGTAGCTTGTGAATCAAGCTACCCTTGGTTCCAGCGACAGGAAGCCTGCGAGTGCCTAGACAAATGAACTGTCAGATCATCTCGACAATATTTCTCGTACAACGTGTGCCACAGCGTTTGGTCTCGACATTGCTTCATTGTCAGGTAACGGTAAGGTTCGCACAAAGTTCATGCAGTGATAAGAGCTCTTTTGGCTTACAGAGAGTTATGCACGGCCTCATTTCATTAGCTGAAAAGGTACTGCCGAAAAGAATGAGATGAGATGTGAGTAAGTTTATCCAGCGGATTTAGTGCTTTCAGTCACTCCACATTGCCTTCTTACCTAGATGGCCAGGTAGTCTGCACAAGATGGGACTGCGACTATGATTGTTTACAGTCTCAGTGCTGCTCATCCTCGTTGGTGATGATGTGGAGAGTAGTTCCGACTCACCGAAAACAAGACAAACTACATTTGATGGAGAGTTGAGTATGTCAGAGCTAGTATAAAAATAAGAGATCTGCGCCAAGAAATAAGTGAACATTTCTCAATCTTGACAAACAGTACATTTTGAAAGACATTTGGCAACACTGGTGGATACTAAGGAATAGAAGCCCTGTTGTAAAAACTAAATTGCAGCTGTGGACTTGACTATTTATTTTAACAAATTCTTTTAGGGTTGCATATGTGTCTAGATGATCGAGTCTTACATGATTATTTGATAAAAGTGTCTTTTGATATCAAATATATCAACAATCGTTGATAAAAGTGGCAAAAATCCTCGGCAAGCCTCGGAATTTTCCACTTTTATCAACTCGTGTTGATATATTTGATATCAAAAGACACTCGGGTGAGATTCTCTATTTATCATCCAAAACTAGCTCCCACAGGAGACATCGCTTGGGTGAGATCGAGCGATACATACAGTGAAGATATCGCTTCAATGAAATTGCATCACAATGCTTTGCGGACCATTCTGACATCATTGGTTATCATGACGTCACAATCAAATGACATCACTAATGGCTCTGCTACTGAAACTGTTGGCAGTACTTTTTACACTTAAGCCACTTATTACTGTCTACAAACTAAAAAAGCTAAAAGAATTATGTTGCAGGATAGATAAAATCTCCTCATATCTTTTGATATCAAATATATCAACACTCGTTGATAAAAGTGCTACTTTTATCATCTCGTGTTGATATATTTCATATTAAAAGACACTCGGGTGAGATTCTCTATTTATCATCCAAAACTGGCTCCCACAGGAGATATCGCTTGGGTGAGATCAATGAAATTGCACGAAAATGCTTTGCATGGTTACCATGACAGCACAATCAAATGACATCACTAATAACTCTGCTACTGAAGCTGTCAGAGGTTACGATTGCTGGGCAATGGGCGTTAAAACTCTATCATCTAAATTTGGCTTCGGCTATGTGTGGGTTAAAATATAACTTGTATAAATTGATTAAATTTGAATATTGTTTCGAAGTGTATTTATCTGCAGTGACTCTACCTAAGTAAAGAATAGCATTAGCAACATTCCGATATTCTAACCATATTTTTATGATCAATAAGGTCAGAGTGAGTGAGTGAGTATGGTTTACACCGCTTTTAGCAATATTCCAGCATTATCACGGCGGGGGACTCCAGAAAATGGGCTTCACACATTGTACCCATGTCGGGAATCGAACACAGGTCTTCAGCGTGACGAGCGAACGCTTTAACCACTAGGCTACCCGACCGCCCCTCAATAAGGTCAGAAAGCTTGCTATACTAAGAAATGAGCGGCTTTGTCCACAATGTGTAACACTACCAGTCAATTGAAGCCGAGTACTTTGTCTCGTATGTCCATTTTATCATTTGTGACATGACTTGATTCTGTAAGTTTCCTACACTTTTTTAAATTTCAACAGTTGCTAACGTCGCGCAGTATATTTGCTATAAAATATTGGCATGAAAAAGCGATGTATATTCTTGTTTCAAGGTGCATCTGTATAACTGTATGTCGCTCCACATCTTGAACCTGATTATATTAGTGTACTGTTTAATGGGCCGGTGGCCTCTTCACTGAAATAAACCAACTCACTCCAGGTTCATCCAGAAAAGATTGCAATCCCGTGGCGCCCGTGGAGATCTATAAGATCTTCAGGAACCCACGCTTGTCGTAAGAGGCGACTAACGGGATCGGGTTGACAGACTCGCTGATTTGGTTGATGCATGTCATCGTATCCCATTTCCGTAGATCGATGCTCATGATATCAATCACTGGAATGTCGGGTCGATTAGTTACAGACCGCCGTCATAGAGCGGGAATATTGCTGAGTGCGGCGTTAAACAACAAACAAACAAAACGACACCCGTGCGGGTCCCTGTTCAAGGGATATAACTCTATGGATATGCAACTTCTTTATCACAATGGATGCGACGTTTCGGTGCAGATACTAACACCCTTATCAAACAAGAGAAGCATTGTCCACACTCGGATTACTCACTTGCTTGATAACAGCGTCAGCAGTCAATGCAATAAAGAAGTTGTATATCCATAGAACTCTCTGCCTTGTTCATATTACCAACTTCTAATGGCACTTAAAGCAGTTGTAAATCACTGGGTTGTCTGGTCAAGACTTGATTATTTACAGGTCGCCGTCATGTAACTGGAATATTGCTGAGTGCAGCTTTAAACAACAAATACTCGAACAGTGACTGAGCCTGACTAACCACTCCACATCTCGATCGGCTCGTTCCAGTATGACACATAGGGGGTACTGGTAAGCTACTCGGGCCTGTCAACTCAGTGACATCATGAGCATTGATCCACGCAATTGGGATACGATGACATGCATCACCCAAGTCAGCAAGCCTGACCAACCGATCTCGTTAGTCGCCTTGAAGCAGTGCAAAATCCAAAAAAATTAAGTTTGAAACTGTTTGTACCGCCTATGCGTTTGTCGTTTTTTGGAGAGTATATTAACTAGCCCCCTCTGTGGTACGACATTCATAGAAGAACTGAGCAGATAATTTTTGTTAAAAAAAAATGTAGAGGCTCATTTTGTGACCACAAGTAAATATACAAATACTCAATGCATGGAATTAATTTGCGAAGCAGTATTACGATTTGAGATGAAGTGAGGTGAGGTGAAATGGTCGTTCAAGATTTTGCATTTATATAGCAAAGTGTGTGCGTGTGCGTGTGTGTGCGTGCGTGCGTGTGCGTGTGTGTGTGGGTGCGTGTGTGTGCGTGTGTGTGTGCGTGCGTGTGCGTGCGTGTGTGTGCGTGTGTGGGTGCGTGTGCGTGTGTGTGCGTGTGTGTGTGTGTGTGTGTGGGTGCGTGTGCGCCTGCATATAACCCTGGTGTCTTAAGGACTCTGCACAAGGAATTGTGATGCTCACTTTGGAAGCTTGGCGACCAGTGCCCTTCACCTATAGTGATAACGTAATAAGAAAGGTACGCAGCAAAAGCGACAAGAACATAAATGGATTTTAATACGAACACTTACAAAAACGTAACATCATGGAATGGCTACGTCGGTGTATCTGTGAACGTTGTATTGTGCGGCTGACGTCGTAGTTGGTGAACAGCGTCCTCTCCACCCTGGAACTGTCTGAGGTGAGTGTACGACAGTATGATTAGTAACTGTGAGTTAATTGCAATGACATAGCCTGATATAATAAGGCTAGAAACTAAAATAAAATAGGCCTGATAAACAAACATATGATAAGACAATATACCCTCAACAGAAAACATATAGACAATATACCCTGATAAGAAGACTTATGGTGTAAGTCTACTATTTGAGTAATCATGCTCTTTGACAGAATCATATTCCTTAGTACCTACATATTCTACATTCACGTGATCCTAGGGGGCACGGGTGGCCCAGTCGTCTAAGGCGCCGCGATTCGCTGTGCAGAGTTGCGTCCCCTGGACACACCAGAAACCTATGATTGTGAGTTCGAATCCCGGTTCACCCCGATTATGTTTCTAGGTTTGTCAGCACCATACCCGTGCTCGTTGGTTTCACAGAAGTGGTAAACGTCTAAGACCTGCATCACTTCGGGCTTTCCTCCCACATTAAGCTGACACGCCGTTATATAACTGGAATAATGTTAAAAGCGGCGTTACACCCAACTCACTCACTCACTCACGTGATCCTATTCAGGAAATCTGCTACATGGTTCACGGATCCCTTTAAACACCTGACTGTAAATCTACAAGGCTGTGTACCCAAGGCCAAACACAAGAATGCCAATGGCTAATGATCTGTTTCAACAATTATGACTGGCCATATAAATATGTTCTAAAATTATTGACTGACCAAACAAGAGCCAATCACTCCTGTTCTGTGACTGCATAGCTTCTCCCACGTGTCTACAATGTCCTACTAGCATATGCACATGGAAACAGCTGATCTCGCGTTCCTAGAGGAGCAGAGAACCGACTCCTACATCATAGGCATCAGTTAGTTCTTAGAACGTCTTTGAAAAGTCTGGAAGCTTCAGAATTGGCTCACTGGAAAGCTTTCTCTTTCCCGTGTCAAATGCATTTTGTTGTGGCGCTTCCCATCGCAGATGCTTGGAACAGTTCTTCTTAAAGCACACACACACACACACACACACACACACACACACACACACACACACACACACACACACACACACACATTCTATTTGTGAACATTAACGTATTATGAGACGAAGACTTACAGAAACGTAACATTATGCATAGCACGGCGATGTTGGTGTATCTTTGATCGTTGACTGCCACATCTCGACGTGACGACTTTGTACTGTGCGGGTGATGTTGTCGTAGTTGAGGAACAGCGTCCTCTCCACCCTGAACCTGTCTGAGGCGAGCCCCAGGGGTAGCGCTCCCCGGTGTATCCTTACAGAGGTGTAGTAGGCAGGGGACATATCTCTGGAAAACATCCGAGAAACATCAATATAAAATATATACTCAACCAACGCATATGTGGTTTTCAAGAGATTCTGTGACTCCTACAAGGCTATATAACTCATAAGACATGTGCGTGTGTTTGAAAATTACAAAGTGAAACAGAGGTCACCAAACGTTAACGTCACTATCTGAAGAATAACACTGCTTACAGCTGGGACAACCTGAGAACGTAAGAGAGAGTGAGTGAGTATGGTTTTACGCCGCTTTTAGCAATATTCCAGCAATATCACGGCGGGGGACACCGGAAATGGGCTTCACACATTGTACCAATGTCGGGAATCGAACCCGGGTCTTCTGCGTGACGAGCGAACGCTTTAACCACTAGGCTACCCGACCGCCCCGAGAACGTAAGATTTCTTCACGATAACACACATCTATTAAGTTACCCTGGATATGAATAAGATCATAAGTTTTTAGGGCATAAGTTCAAGCACCAAAAATCATGACGCTTCCCCCTTCGAATCTGTCGCATATTAGGTATAGCGTTCATTCCGATCTGAGCCCAATAGAGTTTATATGGGGTTTCGTCGGAGGTGACGTTGGACGATTGACTACAACGTTTAATTTGCGGGATGTTTTGAAAGTTGGTAAATGAATCCCTTGGTAGGGTAACAGTAGAGACATGGCAGCATTGTTTTAACCCCCTTTACACAGGGCTGCGACCTTTGTGCCACCTTTGAGAGATCAAAAACTTGCCAGAACGCTCAATGGTCGCCTAAACCCAGAAAATCATGTTTCTGTGTAACTGCTCCAGCAGTTGTTCAGCAGTAACTGCTCGAGTTGTTCAGCGTCTGCAACCACAATGAAACACTGCAGGTACAAGCCCTCTATTTATAGGCAGGCTGAGGAGGCATTACAGGTAGCTCAAAGGAGGCAGAAAAGAGGCAGAAGAATTGCCATGGTATCTCAAGGGTTGCCGTGCTCGCCGAATTGAGGCACGGCGGTCGCCACAGTCATCGTTCAGTGCACCCTGTTGGTCGCCCAAAGGAGGCACAAGGGAGGCAGAAGCATCTCCCAGATCGACGGGAAAAATTACCTGGCGACATTTGGGCGACCGCTGTGCCCCCCTCTGCCTCCTTTGAGCCACCTTTGAGCAACCAATCTCTTCGGCGACCTTTGTGCGACTGTTTTGAACATGTTCAAAACTTCACGGCGACCATGGCGTCCATGGCGATGTCTGAACTCCTGTGTACCACCTTGGAACGACCGAGGCAACCATTCTGCCTCCTTTGAGCTTCCAACGACGACCTGGCAAATTTTATTGTCGCACACGGGAGGCACAAAGGTCGCCATCCTGTGTAAAGGCCCCATAATAGACGTCAACGTGATAGTGTCAGGATACTGGCCACGTTGTAGACTTCAGCAAGCAACAGTCCCAGCTATAGTTGTGACCAACAGCAGTGACACAAGCGATTCCGACAACGAGGGCTGTGACATGAGCGATTAAATTTATCATGAGCCAACTTCTCTTATGCTGCCATTCCCTGTACCGTTGTGCAAAACGTGTTTGCACTGTTCTTCACACCGTTGTGCCCACCGCCCATTCGTGACCAACTCGTCCCATTCCGGGAAAAGCCGAATGTAGACTCGTGCCCCTCTCGAATGTTTCCATTTTCGCGTGACCGCCTCCGTGGTCTAGTGGTAGAGCGTCCGCCCGGCGAGCGGAAGGTCCGGGGTTCGATCCCCGGCCGCGTCATACCAAAAGACGTTAAAAGATGGTACTTGTTGTTACCCTGTCTGGCGCTCGGCATTAAGGGGATAAAACAAGGACTGGTCGGCTCGGAGTCAGTATACTGTGTCTGAGTGGGATATTCATGTGAAACTGCGGCATGGTATCTCAGTGAGCTAGCACTATAAATCGGCATCAGTCCGGACTAGTACAAGCAGCCACACAAACACACACGTACATGCACCTCGCTATACAAGTGCAATAATCTTGGACGCGACGTTAAACCCCATTTCACCTCACCCCACCATTTTTGCGTATGGACACGAGAACCACTTCAAACAAGAACGATAACTCTTATTCTACCCGCGTCTTGTAATAAAATTGAAGTAGGCATATTCCTGATGTAAAAGTATTGAACCTCTGTGATATAAATACTAGTATATACTTTCATGGATAGCGTTGGCAAATAGTACACACATTTTAGACGAAGTAATTACAATTATGAAGGAATGCCATATCCACCATGCCTGAGAGGTGTATAGACGTATGTCTAAACATACACCAGTAACATAGTGAGACCATGTTATTATTCAAACCCCGTGGGGATTCCCATGTATCCTAGGCATCTCGTTCGAGGCGACTTCATGGATTCAGAATCGGTAACTTCGTTAACTGGTGCCATCTCCCCTCCACCGCGTGGATCGTTGCTTACAATATCTATGACTGGTTTTCCTGGAGATGTCTCGATTAAGTACGAGCAGCCGTCATATAGGTGGAATATTGTTCAGTGCGGCGTTAAACAACAAACAGGATTTAATATTCAAAACGCGTTCAAATTTAAGGTGTTCAGAAAAAAGGAAGAATTATTACAGTCTTATCAAATAAAGTAAGCTGAGTAGAAACTATGTTCTATATATAACATAAATAGCTTAAACTGATTAAATAGTGTGGAAGTAGCATACTGGTCGTTTACAGATTAGATAACCAAGATTATATGTACGTCATCCATTTAGGCAGTTTAAAACCAGTAACATTTATTGCAATACGTTTTCATGATAATAATATAATATGATATAATATGATATAATATAATATAATATAATATAATATAATATAATATAAGGTGAAATGTGGTGAAAATGATAGGCGAATCATCATTTGTTGAAGCACTAGTTATGGAAGTGGATTGTCTCTATAAATGTCACTGCTAGCTGGTGTACATTAAATTTATATCCCAGAGCAATGTCCGATAAAGTCATATTTATGAATAGTATGATAGTCATTTGATACACAAACCATACTCAGCTGAGCGGACATAGACCTACATCGTGTATTTTTTTACATGGGCTTGAATGCCATAACAAATGTGAATCTCCATAGATACATGTTCAGTTTACTAATTCTATTATTGCAGTATATTCTATTCTATTATTTTTTAAAAGTAGAAAACTTAGTAGGCTCGCACTTCGGTAAACCTACAGTGAACCCTGAATCCATTCCCGCGGTTCTTGCGATCGCAAATTACCCGCCCTTGATTTCAGTAACATTTTACCCACCAATCAAGCGTCGACATAAGGAACAGGGAAATGGGTAAAGGAGGTGGACACATTATTGCCATCAAAAATACCTTTGAGGAGTTTTTTGCGTGTCAGTCAGGTTTTCAATGTTGAATTTCTCGCAAGCTTTATCGTAATCAATGGGACTGGCCGTCGTGTTGTTGATATCGCCAACCCAACATTAGGGCTGGTTTGTAGCTCGCGTTATGATTGTCCGTTAGACTGAGTAAAGTAACAAATCAAATTGGCTAGGGAAAATCAAGGGCGGTCAATTTGGTGTAGGTCTATCGAAATAGAGGATGACACTGCACCTGATGGGAGCTCCGACAATGTTTTGGGTAAAGATGTTTGCTCTCGGAGCGAAAATATATGTCATGAAAAAAATATTCTGCCTGAAAGAAAAAAGACAGATGGCGTTCGATAAGACATGGCAGTGCCATGTCTGTGTTATTCTACCGATAAGGGCTAAATTGTGTCACTGACTAAAACAAATTTTCTGGTATTGTTTTCATGTAAACAATTCTGACGTGTGTTTCAACACTTTCAATGGGATATATTCAAACATAACATTGCATTGTGTTCAAGTGCATATTTGACAGTTTATGCTAAAATATGCATGAGATAGGCACAGGGGTCGCTTAAAGTCATCAGGAAAAATGATTAAATGTGAAAATAATGCACACAAATCCCCATGCTCTGGAAAAAAATAATTATGAAACCAATTCCCGAACTCAGTCTTGATAAATATCCTTTCTAACTTCAGCAGTTTCTGAGAAAACTGGTCCCTATTGCAGACGCTATGCACTTTGTAAAATAACATGATGGATCAAGGGCACAACTGTGTGTGCTCAAAATAAAAAAAGAATATAGCAAGGGAAGTAACTCTGTAAAAGAGTAGTGTACAGGACCAATGTGCGATGACAGTCTTGACAAATATCCTATTGATAAGCTTGCAACGTTTCATTTATGTTACGTGAATAGTTTCTGAGAAAACCTGTTCCCAAGGCAGCCACTATGCACTTAGTTGAAAAGCACGAAGCAAGGGTCATAACTCTGTAAAAAACATAACTACGGGACCAACTTTCGAACTGTCGAAAGTATCTCTTATGTAAAGGATGCAAACTTTCATTCATGTAATTTCAGAAGTTTCTGAGAAAACAAGGGCCATATCTCTTCATGACCTGTTATATCAATATGTAAGATTTCATTTCTCTAACTAAAATAGTTTTGAAGAAAATTTGTCCCCTTTGAGAAGCGGACGGACGGACGGAAAGACAGAAGGACGGACGGACGAACTCCGTTCCTATATCCCCTGCCCCACTTCGTGGCGGGGATTATAATGACAGGTACGTATAGTCAGAATATGGCGACCATATGTACAGTAATATATAATAAGACATATTTGAGTTTTGCATCCAGTGTTAATATTTGTTTGTTTGTTGTTTAATGCCGCAATATTCCAGCTATTTAACGGGCGGTCTGTAAATAATCGAATCTGGACCAGACAGTCAAGTCACTGACATCATGAGCATCGATCTACGCAATTGAGATACGATGACATACATCAACCAAGTCAGCGAGTCTGACCACCTTAATCCGTTAGTCGCCTCTTACGACAAGCAAGGGCTGCTGAAGGCCAATTCGAACCCGGATCTTCACAGGTTCCAGGAATAATGAACTGACCATGCATTGCTCGCTTAATCTCAGTTGTGTGTACACGGTGTCTCCCTCTACTATAACACGATCAGAAAAAAAACTCACCTGATACATGTATACGTTTAACCTGATCAAAATATAATTACCAAAAAAGATGTGGCTTGAAAAACTGAGCCAGAATAAGGCGTAAGCAGTAGGAAAGCAGTCGAGTACCTTATTGCATTGTCGTGAATCTTAAGTTGATTCCATTTCTGTACTGCTCGGGGGTGCCGGCACACTACAAGGTCTCCCCAGTTACCCCCCGGGATTCTCTCTGCACTGCAGTAAGCCATGATGTCCTCCTGGTTGCATAACTCGGCTGTAAGCACAGCATCCATCTGCCAGACCTCTTGTTCCACGCTGTCGTCCACAGTGTCTTGCTTCTGGCCAATGAATCCTACAAAGTACAGAAAGCTGTCCCCGGTCTTTGCCCTCTCTCTATATTCCTCCAGCAAACCAAGCCCATGAGGAAACACTACTCTTGCCTGATTGCCATTGTCCATGTGTTTAAAGTACTGCAGCATTGTCTTGTCATCGTGCTTGGCCACTAGTTCCAAATCCATCTCTTTGTTGATGAAGTCGAGGCATGTTTTAAGAAAGGTAAAGTCGTCTTCATAACACGAGAGATTCTTCACATCGCTCATTTTGTAAAGTTGTTCAGAGATCACTGGAACACACTGGTGTGGTGACAGATCGTGGAACATATATAGCACATCTCTTATCTTGTTAAAAAAGATAAACCCAGCTAGTTCTCGGTAAAAAAGCAGGCTATCAAATGTGATTAAAGTCATTCAGTTTGTTTTGTTTGTTTTTTGCTAAACGCCGCACTCGGCTGTCGTGTCTGGAACAGTGAGTGAGTGAGTGAGTATGGTTTTACGCCACTTTTAGCAATATTCCAGCAATATCACGGCGGGGGACAGAAAAGGGCTTCATACATTGTACCCATGTCGGGAATCGAACCCGGGTCTTCGGCGTGACGAGCGAACGCTTTAACCACTAGGCTACCCGACCGCCCCTCGTGTCTGGAACAGACAATCCATGATTGATATCATGTGCATCGACCCATCGTCTAGCCAACACTGAATAGTAGACAGTGAGGCTCGGTGTCTCTTTAATACGGTGGTCCTGACATACACAATATAGATAATAACAGACCTTGTACTCAGCCCAACCTGTATTTTCGTTTGCCAAAATGTTCCCAGCGAAACTATGCCTACATCGAATTTTCTTTCAATAGCAACCCTATGCTGGTCAGGCATCTGGTTCATTTGCCGCGATGTCTGAATACCAATGATTAAATCACCATGGTTACAATTTTATACTCTAGACAGCTGCACGCTACGCGTTATTGTCAATGTAACCTGTATGTCAAAATGTAGTATGTAGGATCGCTATGTATTATGCTTCAAAGAAGATTATCCCTTTTTACTTTGGATCTGGACCGCCTCCGTGGCCTAGTGGATAGAGCGTCTACCCGGAAGGCGGAAGGTCCGGGGTTCGATACCCGACCACGTTTTTTTTCCAAAAGACGTTAAAGGATGGTACTTGTTGTTACCCTGCCTGGAGCTTGGGAATAAGGGGCTAACACAAGGACTGGTCAGCTTGGAGTACTGTGTCTGTGTGTGGTACCCATGTTAAACATGAATCTCATGGTATCTCTGTGGGCTAGCACTATAACATCGGTCCGGACTAGTAAACGCAGACCCACACGTGCATGCACGTCGCTATATAAGTACAATAATCTTGGGGGTCACGGGTGGCCCAGTCGTCTAAGGCGCCGCGATTCGCTGTGCAGAATTGCGTCCCTTGGGCACGCCAGAAACCTATGATTGTGGGTTCGAATCCCGGTTTGCCCCGATTATGTTTCTAGGTTTGTCAGCACCATACCCGTGCTCGTGGGTTTCACCGAAGTGGTAAACGTCTGAAACCTGCATCACTTCGGGCTTTCCTCCCACATTAAGCTGACACGCTGTGATATAACTGGAATACTGTTAAAAGTGGCGTTAAACCCAACTCACTCACACACTACAATAATCTTGAACGTGACGCAACTTCACGCTTTCGTTGTTTTTTGTATGGAAAAGTACGTATCTGTCTATGGTATCAATCGACTGTTAGATAGATCAAAACATTTTATTGAGCAAAAACAAACCCCAAAGGTTGTGATTGACTTTAATCAAATTTGATGACTTAAACTTCCTAAACCTGGCCGTCAGCTGGTTTTGTATACAGTGCCACAATATGATGACGTCGCTGTTTCAAAAACGAATAAAATGTATCGAAAGTGTTACAACGTTCTTATTTCAGACAGACAGTTTATCAGTTATTTAGGCATCAAGACCCATTATAGTACAATGCAGATTGCATCTGAACATTTGTCGCGTGATATACATGATTAGATTATAAATTGTATTTACACCTCGGTTCACATATACATTTAAAGACATACGCCATAGTTTATTTTAAGTACCGTTTCTCATTTCATCCCATTCTACAAAAGGAAAATTTTGAAAAGATAATGATCATAGATAAATGAAACTAATGGAATTATTTGTCCTAAAAGGGAAAGCAGAAATGAAATTGGATTACGAAAGTAAAACTAGCAAAAAACGTTAATATATACGTTTTTCAGTAATTATATCTTTCCTTTTTTTTTTTTTCTAGCTACATCATGGAGGAACATGTCGTTTAAACTTGTTAAATAAACACAAGCATACATTCATATTGCTCCTGGCCAAACTGTTTTTTACAAATGTTATCAATGACACAAAATAAACAAGAACACAGTATTATCACTATTCCCAACCGTAGGGCACATAAGGAGTTTGTTTGTTCGTATAGTAGTGACCAATAATTGATTGAGTGAGTGAGTGAGCGCGTTGGGTTTAACGCCGCTTTTAACAGTATTCCAGTTATATCGCGGCGTGTCAGCTTAATGTGGGAGGAAAGCCCGAAGTAATGCAGGTCACAGACGTTTACCACTTCGGTGAAACCCACGATACGGGTATGGTGCTGACAAACCTAGAAACATAATCGGGGCGAACCGGGATTCGAACCCACAATCATAGATTTCTAGTGACCAATAAGGAAGCTCAATGAAATGTGAAATTGATACACACAAAAGGCCCCTTCTTTTGGAAAAATGATTTATGATACCAATTTCCGAACTCTTGGCAAATATTCTTGGAGAGGCATGAAAACGTTCATTCATGTAACTTCAGTAGTGTATGAGGATATTGTCCCATTTCACGCAATATGCACTCAGTTGCAAAGCATGGAGCAAGGCCCGGAAGTCTGTAACCAAATAACAACGAAACCAATTTTCGATCTCATTGAGATCGTGACCAGTAAGATCAGTGCGTAAAATCTCATTTCTCAAAATAGTTTTTGAGAAAATTGGTCAACATTGATCCTCCATTACTATATCCCCCGCCTCACCTCGCGGCGGGAGATAACTAAATATTAATAAAAACGTATGTAAATTATATCGCATTGATCGAACTATTTGATAATTTAGATAATGCAGGTTAAAAAAGAATATGATGAAAACTTATTAAAACATCAAAACGACATCACATTACAATGAAAACATTCAGAAATCGATTATCTATTAATTTTGTGCAATTTCTATAAATGATTTTGTTATTAATTCAACCATTAGAGATTCTAGTGTATATGTGGCTACAAAATTATAGAGGCTGTTTAATCTTGGATCCATTTTGACAGCTTCTCACTGTAAAACATTTATTGTTTTGTACAAAAACCTAAGCGTTTACCCATTGCTGACACTACAGATGACGTGTCAATTAAACAGACTTGCGATAGATTATCATACGATAATCGAGAGTACAACCCATATAAATAATTTGTAGATCCAAATTTATATAGATCCTATATCCATTGCAGAATGTTGGAAATACGAACCCTGTCGTTTTACGATAATATATTCCATTTTCTGCGAAGATTCACAATGTGTATTTGATATCTTCATACATAATTGGTCATAAGTCATGTTCCACAATCACAGCATGTTACACGTGAATTAGACACCGCAAATACCATTTCAGCAAAGCAATCACAGCGCCATTATCACAGTTTCAATAAAAAGAAAAAAACCCTGAATTTTACAGCACATCGTTTCCATAAGCAGTAAACTTAGATACAAAAGGGTATTGCTGTGATAATTCAGAAGTACTGTTAATGTTTTCAGTAATTGTATTATGTTTGTATCGTGTGTACCATCGACAGAGGCTTGGTTTGGTTTTGGTTTGTTGTTTAACGCCGCACTCAGCAATATTCCAGCTATATGACGGCGGTCTGAAAATAATCGCGTCTGGACCAGACAATCCATTGATTTATATCAAGAGCAATTGGCTTCGATGACATGCTTCAACCAAGTCAGCGAGCCTGACCACCCGATCCCGTTAGTCGCCTTTTACGACGAGCATAGTCACCTTTTACGGCAAGTATGGGTTGCTGAAGACCTATTCTACCCCGGAATCTTCACGGGTCGACAGACGCTTGGGCCGAGGTACCTCATTTGAAACTGACCTTGACACAATTTGTTTACAATATGGCGTCAACTGACGTTACGACATGGAGACAACACTTCTGAAATCTCCTCCTGCGACAGAGTGAGTGAGTGAGTTGGGTTTAACGCCACTTTTAACAGTATTCCAGTTATATCACGGCGTGTCAGCTTAATGTGGGAGGAAAGCCCAAAGTGATGCAGGTCTCAGACGTTTACCACTTCGGTGAAACCCATGAGCACGGGTATGGTGCTGACAAACCTAGAAACATAATCGGGACGAACCGGGATTCGAACCCACAATCATAGGTTTCTGGCGTGCCCAAGGGACGAAACTCTGCACGGCGAATTTCGGCGCCGTAGACGACTGGGCCACCCGTGCCCCCTCCTGCGACAAAATGTGAAACGGTTAGGGTAATTCATTCACACGGTCAGGTAGTGTGATCAATCACACGTGACTCTTAGTCATTTCATGGGAAAAAAAGCCTCACTTATTTGTCAAAACGAGCGAGCATGAAGGACAACTGGTAGACAAGAAATCGCGGCACAGCTATGATAAGATCCGAACGTGCCCTGTCGATCACTTCCGGCTTAGCCATTCAATGTTTACGTGTTGATCATGAACTTCCCGCCCATTCATATACTTTATACCACCTTAATATTAACAATCACATCTATCTTTCCATACACCTGATTTGAATATTTTCAATCAGCATCATAAACTGTCGGTTCTTCTCTAGCGCCATGCTAAACACAGTCGAAAAACGAAAGAAATATGTACCCGGTAATACTTGAACAAAAAAACATCGCGGCTTAAACGTCAGTATAGTCTTACGCCAATTACCGTTTAGTGGGGAAAAGAACAAATTTCTGTCCAGTCTGATCAGATTTCTCTTTCAAACTGGCTGTCTGATACTAAAATAGTTACGTGTATGTGACATGGGAGCAAATTCGGGCAGGACACACTCACCTTTTCGCGACCACCTGGTATCCTTACTATTTGATAGTAATTCATTAACACATGTTCAAGATATAGTCGGAATTGTACAATCGACTCTGGTTTATCCAGAGATTTCTATTGGATATGGAAAGGGTTTTTGTCACTTTATAACAAACAAAATTGTGTGCTAAAAGTACCCCCATGTTAAAAAAACCCCATAACCAGCCTCTTGCAAAATTGTTAAATTTGAGTTTGATTTCCAGTCAAATGCCATTCTTTGCATGTAAAGTAGTTGTCCGT